ATTCTAAAAAGTACAGAGCGTAATGTAGTCTTAGTTGTATTTATGTTTTCTTAAATAAAAATTAACTCCATTTCCATAGTAAGATTGGGATAGTGTACTAATACCATTTGTGTTTTCAGAAAATAAAAATTGAGTTATCTTAGTTATGATAACAAAAAAACAAGTTAATTGATTATTCCGGAATATATTCTAAAAAATAATCAGTTTAAATAGATTGTAAATCCCTGAGTTTTATGTTAATCTCTTATTTTTGAGTTACTTAAAAATCTAAGATTACACATTAAATACTTAGATTATTAACATCCATTAAGTATTTAATTAGTTAAGTAAATTTTAAAGTTATAATATGTATGTAGAAAGGAATAAAAAATGGGGTTAAATCTATAAGGTATATACTTTAAAAACTAAGTGCACAAAAAAAAAACAAAAAAACACAAGCATCACACATGGCTTATTTTATTTTTTTTAACTATTTGCTTTTGATTGAAAGTAAAGGTAAATAAACTATTGATTTTACTTAACTATTATAATAGTTAAATAAAAAATTGGATTTATAAATTATATAATTAAAAGAAAAAAATGTTACTTTATTATTATTACTTAACTTCACACATTTAAGAAAACATTTAGAAAAATTAAATTTTTTTTTTTATCATAGATAACTCAATAATTTGTTGATATTTTTTTAATTATTTTACATTGATAATTTTTCTAAGGTTTTCAATGTATCCATCAGTAAAACTTTATACACATAAATCACTTATAACTACAAACATACAATCATTACACATTAGATAAATACACATAAAATTACCATGAGTAAACAGTTATTTCTGTTATAGTACAAAAAATTCAAAATAAAATAGAAGTTTTGGTCAGAGTAAATTAAAAATAACTGCTAAGTTAGTTAAGTATAGTTTTTTGATGTACATTAATCATATGAGTCTTATAGGTGAACTTTTGTTTGAAACTCTTATTACACATAACACAATGAAATTGAGGTTCAAGACCACATTCATATTTAAGATGGGCCCCTAATGATCTCTGCATTTTAAATTTTCGGCCGCACTTTTCATTTGGACACTGGTGAATATTTGCTTTAGTCACAATTTGTATTACATCTATACAGAAACCAGAAAAATAAACATATTATTTTATACTTTGATTTGAATTTTTTCTTTGTGTTTGATCAGAAAATTAAGCAAAAGCAATTAATTAAAAAAATTTAAATTAATAGTGTATTTCAAAAAATCAAGTTAAAAGTATAATAAAACTAAAACAATTTATTTTAATTGTAGTATACTATAAGTATCTAAAATAAGTTTGTACTAATAATAACATATAGAGCAATTTGACATTATTTGCAATATGCTACTGGATAAAAATATAAAATACATTAAATATATAGACATAATTAATATGATGTTGTACTTACAATTCTGTTTTAAATACTATGAGATGATACAAATATACAACCATTAACTAAATTGTAAAAATATATAAAATATAAAAAAAAATTACACTTATTTAATTTATAAATAAATATGAATGAAGTAGTATTGTAATTTAGAAAATAAATACAAACAAACTTTTTAAAATGTTAAATTGTTAATGCATGATGTGTTAAAATATAATTACCAGTTGTTACTACATTATATTGTTTAAACAAGCTGCTTATGTTTAGATATCATATGACACTTATAACTTCCTGGTTGTTTAAACGATTTCATACATAATGTACACCTAAACATTGGTTTCACTCCACATTCATATTTCTGATGAGTGTACAATGCATTTCTTGACTTGTACACTTTGTTACAATTACTCTTTGTACATGAGAAACACAAGGCACCTGAAAAGTATAATTTAATTTAAAACTAAAATTATCATAGAAAACATTAAGTCAGAGTGATTTACCTCAAAGTATAAATAAAAAATACAATTTTATATTAAAACAAAAACATAATTTTAACTAGAAAATTGTTATACCAAAAAAGTGTGAAATTAAAACACTACAGTAAAATAACTACAATATTTTATCTTTATATTAACAATATTAAATTATTTTAATAGCTTAAACATTATTATGCCAATATTTCAATTTCAATTTTATTGTATACCTCAATTACAAATTAACACATCAAAAATATAACTAAGAAAACTAAGAGAAAACTGATCTCATTACTTTCATATTTAGAACAATACAAAACTATAACAGCCAATCCATACGTTAAACATACATTTCTGAGATACTTTATGATCTACCCAACTTACAATTATTCTCATTTTGTTCAAGTACTTCATTTTGAATATGAATTTCTTGTTATGATCAGTGGTTAAACCAACATTATTAACGAACCTTATTATTAAGTCAAATGTTTCTCTTTATTCTTCAAACTTTTCAATTACCTTTAATACTACAGACCCAACACCAATTACATGCAAAATAAGCCATTTGGGCATCATTGTTCCCTATCCAACTGAAACTCTTCCTCTGATTAAATCACCTAATCAATCAATTTGCGCAGTTCCAATAACACAAAAATAAGAAAATACACTAACCTACTCCTTACATTATACAAATTATAAATAGCTAATTTGGTAAATTTTCTACAATAATAAATAATACATCAGCTTATCTCAACTTAATTTGGTGTCGTAGAATTATGTCTGTAGCACTATCTAAGATTTAATTTATGATTTTGTTGGTTAACTCAAAAAGCCCATAACCATAAAGAAATTCTACCACTATGATAGCTCTACGAGTTGTATTGATCTCTTTATAACATAAATTATTAACATTCCCTAACTTTACATCGAATATGGCCACTTATGCTTTATAGCTTCATGAATTTATAAGTGCAATAAAGAAGATTGGCAGCTTATAGCCTCATCAAATTATTCTCATAAATTGTCATCAATATGCAATATGTAACTACAATGGTATTTACATATATGCCATATAATTAGATCTACTAGCTCTCCAAAGCAAGTCTACTTTTCTACCTCCACTCTACAACTAGGTTAAATGTATAAAAGAAAATTTGATGCCAACAACAGATGTTTCAGACATGGTGGTACAAATCACTGCTAATTGGGATAAGGAAGGAAAAATAACACAAACATATTCAGCGGTGCACATTATCTTCTTGAAAATAATAATAATAATAGGCTTAAAACCAATTGAACGAGGAGAAGCTCCCCGAAATGTTTATAACTATTACTTATGGGACATTGCTTATAATTAACATAACGAGGTATCTTACTATTTTGTGGCATTTAGAATATAATTTTTGATTGTGTTATTCAAAAATGTTATGGCATTAAATTTCTAAAACAAATTATTAGTTAGGTTATTAATTTCCACTCAGCATTCATAATGATATGAATTTAATTATCAGCAAGAATTAACTATCTATGAATATTATCATATAATAATTTAACTTAAATTTTAAATCAGAAGTTACAAACATCAAAAAAGTGCTTTTTGTGAGTATGAGCAGATGAAGTGAAACTTCTTAACTAAGGGTACGAAAAAACCCGTCCTAGCATCCTAGTCAGAAAAGACACACATGTATCTATAGTTTGTTTGTATACAAAACTAATTAAATCAGAAAAATCTGGTTTCCCTAATCGGAATCGGTTCCGTAACATTGTGATTATGGCACTGACAATTTTGCTACCTATCGAGTCATTATAGCTGACCATGATGCCAACAATTACAGTTTATGCTCTGTAAAGAAGTTTCACTTCAAAAATAAAAAAACTATCCATTCATACTTATTAAATATCATCCCTATTTAGAATATTAACATTTGAATGAATAATTATTAATATGAAAAAATTGTTTACGTGATTATTCATCGGAAACAAAATATTTTCATAAATTCATGAAAAATTATCCAAAATTGTAATTAAAATGTTATAATAGTACATAATTATTATTGAGTTACTTTATATGAAATTAGTTAAAACAATTAACAATAAACATTGAATAACATGTATTATAACCATTCGTATAATTAAGATCACAATCAGTTATGTGGAAAAAAAATATATAATATACTGATTTAACAAATTAATAAAATATTTCAACCGAATATTAACAATAGTAATAATAATAATAATAATAATAATAATAATAATATCAATAATAATAATAATATCAATAATACAAACAATAACAATAATATGTTCTAATTTTTATAATGACTCAAAATAATAACAATAACAAAAAAACTATACCATAACATTCAATAAGTACAACATTGAACAAACAAATGAAAAATTAAATAGTTAAGCATGTAAACTTTGTGATCATTAAAAATTATACAAAACAAAACTGTAAAATAATTATTTCAAAAAATAAAACAAATTTGTTATCATTTATAGTACAATTTTCACGTAATTTTTACATAAAATAATAAAAATATATATACTCTAAAATTTAATATGCAAATATTCTAAAAGACATCAAAAGTAGAAAATTATAACATAACAATTGAAATTCTAAAATTAAATTAAATTAGTGAAATTGTTTTGAAAAGACTGCAAGGATATATTATTTTGATTTAAGTCAAAAACAATATTATCTATTAAATAATTCAAATTATTGTCTGTGCATTTCTGTATAATTAAAAAACTAATTTAATGGTTTTAATATTTTTTTGTTATACTTACTGAATGCTATTTTTTTAACATACTTAATGAAAACAAATTTTCGCTTCTTTCCTTTAGTAAACTTTATTGTCAATAGAATATTTTGGTTAAGTCAATTTATTTCTCAATGTTTTTAACATTAATTTTAATTTGTTAAATAATCAATAATGATTAAATTAATTAATAATTTGAGTTTTCTCAAAAAATAAAAATGTCACATTTGTATTAAAAAGTACTTTTTTGTGGGTTTATTTTAGCATTTTTAGTGTGTAAATGCATAATCAGAATTTTTAAATCCTATATAATGTGACATAATTTAAAGTAATTTGGCTGCATTAAGATTATTGGGAATCGGTGTTATAAAACCATAAAGGATTGCAATTATCATCTTCAGCCTCCTTTTTCACAGAACCTGGCAGGTGGACAAGCATGTGTCTTCGCATATTACTATGACGAGCAAAGCTTTTTCCACAATAATTGCACTTAAACTGCGGATCAATGCCGCACTCATATTTGAGATGATTGTACAAACCACTTTTACTTTTATAGTGGCTACCACAATTCTTTGGACATGTGATCCGCCCATCAGAGCCTGTCTCTTTCAATTGTTTGTTAACCATTCGCCATCGGAGACTACCTGAGAACACGATAACAAAAAGGGACACCTGTGATGTGAGCAATCAAAAAAAAAAAAATTACATTGACGGTACTCAAGCACCTGTTACAATTAAAAAACAATATATATTTTGTTAAACTGCAGAACAAATTGGAGTGTTATTGATGTTAGTTACAAGCATAGCACTGTTGAAGCTAACGGTCAGAGTCTGAATTAAACAAACCCTAAATTGAATGTGTCTATGTATTAAACATTAACAGCATAGTTCAACAAATTCAATAAACATCTCAAATAGACTTAGAGAAGACTATTTCAAAATTAGAAAAAAAATTTTTATGGAATATGAATCATTTGTTTAAATTAAAAAGTTGATTTGATTTTATCATTCTCATATTTATATAACCATTCATTCTATTATAATAAACCATTAAACTAATACAATTATTCCTGCTTTATAAAATGTATATAATTGAATAACATGAAAATACAAGTTAATATAAAAGTACACATTCTATAATTTTACAAAATCATAAAATCTATGTACCTATCATAAATTCACATGCTATGTAGTTGGTAATTCATGAACATAAGAATATAAAAACGCATAATTGAAATATTATAGATGTATACAGTATAATCTTGAAAAATAAAATATAGACTAACTATAAATATAATTTGAAATATAACTTGTAATTCATATATATAAAAACGAGTATGTTTACATAATTTACATAAACTGATTGTACTGGTACTATAATTTTTTTAAATTATAATGGGTTTTAAAATGTAGGTACTTAATTCTTTGGTTTAAGAAATGAGAGGATGAAAATGGATAAATTTTTAGTTTTGATAAGATGTTAGGAGGACGCCACACCCGCATGTGTTGTCGCAGTCTTACAAACGAGCAACATACCAAATTTACACTCAGCAGTTCACGTTTTATGCCGTTAGCTTAAAAATTAAAGTAAATCGACCTATTATGAAACTTGATGATAAGAATTTTATCTGTGTTTTGTTGAAAGTTTTTTTACGACAATTCAGTTTTTAAGCGAGGTATGCTTGTATAATAAATGTAAATTAAAAATGCTCATAACTCACTTAAAAACTGAATTATTGTAAAAAAACTTCCAATAAAAAATAGATAAAGTTCTTAACATAAAGTTTCATAATAGGTCGATTCACTCTAATTTTTAAGCTAACGGCATAAAACTCGAACTGCTGAGCGTAAATTTGGTATGTTACTCGTTTGTAAGACTGCAACAACACATGCGGGTGCGGCGTCCTCTTAATGTTTATACTTTGTTATACACATTATACTGTATTTAAAATAAAGATGTTATCATCTGTGATAAGACTAGGCTAGAACTACTGGCTAGAACTACTTTTTACCCTAGGTTCAACAAAACATAAAATTTGGTACCAAACACAACATTTGTTCATGGTCACATTTATATAGGCAATATTTTCAATATAATATTGGTACAAATTTGTATTATTGTTACATTCAGTATTAAAATATCATAACATGATAATATCAATTTTAATAATACAAAAAATAATTATTTTCTACTAGTTCAGTATATTGTTTACCATATACTTTGCATTTACAATGATAACATTTCTCCTTCACTTTGAAAAGTATTTTTAAATAATAAGGAATATAATGTTAAGTGAATAATTATCATTCAATTGGAATGGCATGGTTAAAAAAAATCATAATAATATATTTAATATTATTTACACATTTTTATTAAATATCAATACATTGCTGAATAAATTCAATGCATATAATCACTGGGAATTATTGTAACTTAAAAAATATAAAATAAATATAGAAAATTGTATTTTAAATTTAAATTAATTCTATACAGAAAAATATTATCTTCAAAAATATTTTTTTCCAGAATACCAATAAAATATAGGGTGAATTATTGAAAAACAAACAATATTAACTTTCTCATGAAATCTTAACATTCAATTAACAAATTATTTAGATCAACAATAAAACAAATAGTTTGTTAAATAGTCCCCTATACAATTTTCTTAACATCCTATAAAATATTTCCCAACAAATTTGAATGTTGAAATTCCATTTTTATTTTAGATGCATGCATTTTATTTTTATTGAAAATTTTAATTGGGGGAAAAAAATTTAAAAAATGTTTTTAAATATTCTTTTGTTTTGTATCCAATGGTTTTAATTTTTTTAATTACTTATATTCAGTCGAATTTAAAGAAAGGCTATAGTTATGAACAAGCACTTCATGTCGCCTGCAATTACTCTTGATTGAAAATTTTCTTGAACACATGGCACAAGAGAATTGAGGTTCTTTTCCGCACTCAAATTTTACATGTGATCGCAAACTCGCCATATGTTTATACCGCTTGCCGCAAATTGTGCAAAAATATGGATTATGAAGACAGTTAGCTGTAAACAAAAACTACAAGTCACAAACCAAATACCAAGAACTCTAAATGCTGTTCATTACCAGTACTACCTACATCCAAAACATGACAATACTAACAAATGATTCACACGGTATAATTAAATCAATATTACGTACAGTGTTTCTTATGTGACTACTACAGTAAAATAAACTGAAATTAATTCAAATGTATAGTAATTGTTGTAAAAAAATCAGTTCTAGGTACACAAATAGCCGCAACGTAAAAAATTACAAAACTAAATATAAGAGTATAGTAATCAAAAACACCTTAAGATGGCAATGTAAATTATAAATAAGTATAGATAAATAAATAATTATAAATCATATTATATTGTGCGTCTTATTATCAAAATAACATGAACAATGAACATGTTATACTATTAAAATAACATTATAATTAAACTTTGCAAAAGTAAAAAACTAAAAAAATTTTTAAAAATATTTCAATTATATATCCAACACAATAACCCAAAAATATCCCAATAATAAATTAAAAATGATCAACAAATAATATAATAATTTTGGTATAAGCTTTTTAACAATCATAAAGTTATGTTTTGATAGTGATTACAATGTAATACTAAAATCTGAGCTAAGATGTCTTGCAACCATATGTGACTGTAAATGGACCTTTTGATAAAATCTCTTCAAACAAATGTAACAAAAAAATTGTCTAGTTTTCTGACACTCATATCTTAAATGTCTGTACAATCCTGGTTTGTACTTATATCTTTTACCACAATTATCTCGAGGGCATTTAAAAAACCCATCGTGACTCATGACAGCAAATTTAGCCTCTGAAAAATATTAATAAATTAATAGAGATGGCTGTAACATAATAATAATGAAAATACAGGCATTTACTCATATAAATTAAACATACATATATATATATATATATATAGGTAAAGACAACTTGTACCTGTTCCGCCACCATAAAAATTAAAATATACAAGTGGTAAAACAAAATGATGTACAATTATAATAAAAATGATTTCTCTAAATCATCACCACAATAAAATATAAATACCAATATCAAAATAAAATAAAACATTTGTAATTAAAACTATTCTAATTTACACATCTGCGTACCTAATGGTAGTTGTTAATTTATTTATAAATTATGATGTATTGAATAAATTTGAATATTAGAGTTCATTTTTGGATATAAGCTTTATTTAATATTCTTTATACCTAACTACGAGTAAATAAAAGTGAATACATTGTAAAAATTAATTATGATAAATTTTTAATAAATCAATTAACAACCCATTCAGAAGTATTTTCAGAATGTGCTTTTGTAATTTATTATTGAATCACTGATGTATTCAAATGTATACTAATATAATATTTTGCATTGATTAAAACAAAGGGAAGTTCTGAGTTTTTTTATTACTATAACAAATCATTTTTAAATTAAATTATAATTTGATGCAAATTATTTCAATGTAATGTTCTTAATGCATATGATATTATATTATCTTGTTAAAATTAGTCGTCAGGGTTTTACTGTAATATATTAGTAAATATAGAATATAAATTAACCTGAATTTGTAAAATAAGATAAATTCAATAAATTCATTATTGAATGAAAAAATTATCATTTAATATTTAGAAACGTTGTTTTTTTTTTTATTATATTAACTTTGCTTGATAAATATAAATAAATTAAAAACAATTTAACTTATAGAATTTACAAATTAACGAGGTTAGGTATAATGGAAGACAAATTATTATAAAACACAAATAATAAAAATAAATGATCAATAATAGTAGTATTGTTTAAATGTGTAATTATACAACAAAGTGCAAGTTTAGATGGAGTTCTGACATACACTTCAAACGATAATTTACATTTTCATTCAAATTAAGGTGTATACTACAAGTTAATAATATAGAGCTTAGTATTTTTGCCATTGTATTTTGATTATATTTTGGTATATTATTGAAGTGTTAAGATATATTAGAACTGCATTTCCAAAATCAAGTGTACAATTTGGATGGCAGGAATACAAATTAATTTTTCCCACTTCAGAGACAAAATTTAAATTTTATGCTAAAATATATCTAACACTTTCTTATTCATATTACTGAAAATATTCACAAGTAAATTATAATATTGAAAAATGATTTTATTTAAATTGAACATTTTTAATAGTATAAAATCATTATACAGTATTTTAAAAGGCAATGTTAGAACTTGTTCAAGTTCAAATGTAGTCATGTAAATATTTTTTAGTGATCTGGAAAAAGAAATTTAATTGGAAATCTTCAAAAATAAATATTAATAGTTTTTCTGATCATAATTTATAATATGCAGTCAATTTGATTATTATTTTCTAATAATGTTTATATTTATAATTTTTTGACTTTTATGATTCTTGACTAGTTTACTATATATCCTACTATTAATAAAATACCATTATTTTCTATAAAATATCAGTCACAATGCAAAAATAACACAAAATTTAAAAATTATATATGAATTTAATATGAACTCTAGAAAACATTTGTATTTACAAGTTAATTTATTTTCCTTCCTTTTTGATATTCAGAAAAGTATTAAGAAATAATTTTCAGTATTCAACTATAAATTATAATGATATTATACACCCAATTTACTTGGACTTTTGTTCTTAACAAGTAATTATTGGAACTAAGTGCCCAAATATGGTGAGTAAAATGTTTATACCTAATTAAAAATCCAATCTTTATGTATTTATTCAGTTAACAAATTAATACAAAATGTAAGCATTATTTCCAAGACCCTATAAAAACAAATGTTTATATCATACATTTATTATACTCTTTATTGTATATTTCTATAAATCTACAATATTTATAAACTGTTTAATAATGTTGGTAAATATTTTAAATAAAAAAGTAATATTTCTTATTTATTGAAGATCAATTGTATAGAGGTAAATTACTGGTGGTGAATTTACCAGATTACTTATTATACATAATATACCGTAATAATAATAAGTGCTACAATATTTATCATGTTATGTTTGTAGATTCCATATTTGTTATTAATAATAATACATAATAAATGTTAATTTTAGGTCACATCATTTTTTTGCAAAAAAAAGTATTGGTAACATTGCATCGTATTTTATATAACCATGGGTATAAAATAATAAAATACCAAAACATGCCCTAAAAAAATATAAATAATTTTTTTTTTGGAGATCAAAACATTTTAACAAGTTAACTTGTGAATATTTATCATGTGAGATTTCATATTTTCTTTTCGTTTAAATGGTCGTCCACACATGGCACACTGGAATTTGGAGTCAACACCACATTCATATGTCATATGCCTCACTAGCCCTCTGTGGTACGTATACATACGGCCACATGTTAAACATTGATGTCTCCTATCTGAAATAAAACAAAAACTGTTACCAAAGTAAGTTTTTTGGATAATATGATGGAATTAAATAACACAACTCGAAATAATAACTACAATTGGTTTTACTCTACTATTTAAGTACACGTTGAATATTATTTATACTAAGACAACTTTTTCAGCACATGATTTATTATTGTACATCTTATGATCTGGACATAGTATTAACATTACTAATGTTTCATACATCTAAAAGTTTGTGTATTATACCCATATGAGACTTAAGACTAGTTTTCCGAAAAAATTGTTTTAAACACACAACACAGTAGAATTGTGGTTCTTTTTGACACTCAAACCGAAGATGTTGCCTAACACTTGACTTGTTTGAATAAGATCTGTTGCAATTTGGGGTAGGACATACATATTTTCTTGAGCACAGCAGAACTAGAACATAATATTATTGATCCAAATGAGTAGATATAAAAATGTACTTCAAATAATAGCAACAAGCACGAGTCAACATTTAAAATTTTTCAAGCATATTATTTTAAATGGCCAACAAAACAAATTATGCTCGCAATAACATTATTTATGGGTACATTAACAATTTAGAATTAAGATAACAAGTGTTACTAATATTTGTTATCTCGGGTTGCATGATAAATGTTCATCTATAATAATAGATAGTTTTATAATTTTTGAGCATATAATCATCTCAAGAGTTCCAATCGCTTACACTAGATCCTCAGTGTCTTTTCACATCTCAACTTTCTATTCACACATTTTATAAATGATCCCTTAGTTAGAACAATGCATAGTTTAAATGATAATAATATTGATATATGGGCTACATTTCTGTAATTTTATTGTTTTTATATATTTTTAGTTTATTAATATTTTGTTATCTTCAAAGCTTATGCCATCTAATGTGATGAAAATTACCTTCATATGTATTATTGCATACTGTTAAAATGTATAAAGTCAAATGGCGTCTGAATCGATAAATAAATAAATAATTATTACTACTCAAGTAAATTGATCTCCAACACAAGAAGAATTATTTGTGATCTCTCGTTGGTATTTGGATATTTGTATCTTATGTGTGTATAACACAAAATTATTTATAAATTAATTTGATCTTGCTTCAAAATTTAAATAAATAAATCTACAAACTAGAGAATACAGATAATGTATTTATCTTTTTTAAGTCACTTATTTACCCAGATATTAAAAATATTTCAAATATCCCAATTATGTCAAATAGCATCAACTGTAAAAGGTAAATAAATGATAAATATGTATACAAGAGTCGTTCTCAACCTTTTTTGTTTCATGTAACCTCATACTATGCTGTCCTAACATAAATATAGTAAACAATTTAAATTGTACATTTTAGGAGAAAAATATAAATGCTTTCCATTTTATTTTAAAAATATAGTTATTATACACCTTATTTGAGTTTGAGGTTCAATAAACACTTTAAATTGACAAATTAAAAAAAATAAGAATATTGAAAAATAATAAAGAATATACAAAGTATTGTATGTTTATATTATTATATTTATTATTTTGTTGTTCTGTTGTTACGATAGTGGCAATAATATTATTTTAATCAAAAATATCAATAATTCTCTTATTTTTTTTTCTTTTCTCATGGATACTTTATGTCACCCCTATGCGGTTCCATGTCACCCTTGGACGACAAGTCATCCAGATTGAGAACCACTGCAACAAGACTAAGAAAAACATCCATTTTTATCAAACACTTTCATCCTAATCACAAATCACAATCACTGGAAATAACAATTCAATAATAATAAATAATAAAATAAAAACTGAAAACCAATGTCTTATTTGGAACTAATATACCTCATAATAAATTATCAAACTATTATCAGTTTCTGAATATTTCCTTTTTTAAAATATAAAAGGTATATTATAATATATTTATTTGGTTATTTTATACTATAATAGTTTATAAAACTATGTTTAACAAAATAATCCTTAACTTACACCAAATAAATTATTTATATTTTATAAATAAATCAAAAAATTTATAAGTTCTTAAACTTCATGATATTATGAACACGCAATAAATGTAGTTTATAATTTCCCTTCTGTTTAAATGTTCTTTGGTTGCAAAGATCACACTTGAATTGAGGTGGCTTACCACATATAACTTCAACATGACTTTTTAAACTACTTTTTGTCTGATACATACGTCCACACTTCTTACATTCAAATAATTTATTATTGCTTGTAAATGAGGCAACTGAAAAACAATAAAATTGTATGTAACAAGAAACAATAAAACACTATTTTTTATACAAATTTAAAGCATAAAATAATATTAAACAAATTTAATAAGCATTCTCTATCTTTAAACACATTCAATATTCAGATATATAAAAAAAAACCTACCTATAAATACACATAAGTATAGTGTGATCCATTAAACATAAGACTCACTTTATTTCAGAAAACAAAAAACCTTTTTACAAACCATTTTTTAAATTTTTTGTTTCATACTCAAGGCAGAATGTTATAGGTGTATTGTAATCTATGAAAAACCTGAATTTTGAAAAAATAGTCTATTAATTATAAGCATTTAAAGTTTAGAAAAGCTGAGTAGTGGACCAACATTTTGTGGGGTACCTCTGTACTACTCCACTCAGCACATGAAAACTTTAAATACTTATAACTCAACCGATTGATCCTAAATTCAATTTTTATGCATCAGTCCTAGAAAAAAATGCATTGAATTAAAAATCCATGTACACATTAAAAAAACGATTTAAAATTATTAACATTAATAGTTTTTAAATAATATTAGTGTCTTACATAAAATGGATTACCCAGAAGTATCCCAAGATACTTGTAAATGTTTTCCTGCCAAGAACAGACTAGTCCAATTTTTAGGTTGTATGGTAGTTACAATTTTTGTAACTTAATATTAGGTCTACAAATTAATTATATTAAAATAACAGTAAAAAAAAACATCTTCAATAAAATGTTCATTAGGTACACTAATATGGCAGCATTAACAGATGTCGGCACACCATTTGTTTTTTTCTATGACTTTAAAGTAAAATTACTTATTACAACAACTGTAGAGAAAGATATTTATCAAGATTTGACATTTTATTTTTCACTTAATATTACCTCATAAGTATCCATTCAAATTTCCAAAAACAAAATGTATTTTTTAAGATGAATGCAAAATTAAATAAATGATAAAAATACAAAAATAACTATTCAAACCCACCCAAATTATTACTCTCTTGAGTCTTTTTCTAAATAGTTAATTTTAACTCATCCTGTGTACCATTTTTAATTTTTAAATACATGTTAAACACCACATGTTTAAAGAATAGTTAATAACAAAAAATCTCATATAATCCTAAAAAAATATATTAAGAAATGACTGAAATAAATAAATTTGGTTATTATAATAAAGAATATATTTAAGAATTTTTTTCTTTATTAGTCTATAGTAAATGTAATACAAGATAATACATAAAATGCACATAAGCATATAGTGGTTTAACATAAAATTTTTAATTAATTAGTTAGTTAAAATGAGTTTGATAAATTATTACAAATTTCTAAGGTAAAATCAGACGATGTCTATTGGCGATGTGTGATTGTAATGCAAATTTGTAGCGACATTTCTTTGGGCACATAGGACATTGAAACAATGGCTCTTTATTGCCACATTCAATGCGTTGATGTCGTTTTAGATCATGAGAATATACATAAGCTTTGCCACAATTAATACACATATGACTCTTTGTTTTGGGAAAATTACCTAAAAAAATTAATTTGTTAAGTAACAATTTATTAGTATATATGAACCTAAAAAATGTTGGTAAGGTGTTTTCCAACAAAAAAAAGCAAATTGTAAAAATTAAACTAATCACAATGTAAAAAAATAAACTATACCTTAATGTCTTGTTTAAAACTAAATCTTAAGTGTTCTAAAGTATTTAGATAACAATAGTATTGTATTACAGTGGTTTTGTAGAACCTATACTATACTTTTAGTAAACCATTATTGTAGTGTATCCTTCAAAATCAGAGTCTAATACTATAACATTAATTATCTACCTATCGATAACATAATATATGAAACAATAATTTCATTGGAATAATATCAAAAGAATATTTATCATAATATATTCATTTAACATTCTATCCCCATCACCAGATTGATTTAGTTGAAACTATTTTAGTTCAGCTTGAAAAAGATTGAAAGCTCAAAAAAAACAACACTTGCAACATAATAATCTTTAGACTATTTTGTACACTATTTTATAATAGTGTATATAGGGATAAACAGCATATTTGATATATTTGCTAAGTCTACACTCAACTATATTCGACTTAAGAGTAAACCTGACTGCGCATAAGCGCCTGTTCGCTGTATATTGCCAGACCATTATTGAATGCAAATAATAGACTGTGTACACCACCAATTACCTAAAGGTTATGATTTGCATTATATGGGTTTCCAATAAACATTTATTATCATCAATTTATATGTATAACTTTGTAACTAAAAAAATATGTGAAGTTATAGAACTAATTTTGAAGAATTTTACATTTTAACAATTTTAATTACATATATATTATGTCTTAGATACAGTCTCTAGTATATTATATATAGTATCTATATAAAAAGGTTGAACATATCTTGTATTTAAAGGTAAACACTGATGTATCCAGTATTTTATATCCATAAACTTATTTTTGAGTTTATTGAAGTATCAATTTATATCAAAATGCATAATGATTAATTTAAAATCATAAAAATACAATTATTTGCAACTTATATTGAATTTAAGTTATTAAATACTTGTTTGGAATCCTAAAAATAAAACAAATATAATATAGGTAATATCAATATATATTTATGATATATAATATTATTTAATTCATAAATATGTTTTTGACCAGACGAATAAATACATACACTACAGAAAAACAATTCATTAATATTTATTTAGCAAGACAAAGCATAACTTCAACAAAAAGTATTTTGATGATCAGTTTATTTACAGCTAAAATTATAAGCAAATTTCAAGTTTAGGGAAAATTTCTGAAAATATATTACTTTATCTCATACTGTATTTAAAATGACTGTTATGTCATTCATATATTGTGTATACTATTAGAAATATAAAAATAATTGTTTCATTATTTTTTTTAATTTGTTTTTATAATTTAAAATTTGTATATATTTTATTGCCTATACTGTCTAAGAATGATGGCTGATAACAACAAGATTTAATCAATATTGTGAAACTTAATAAATAAATAACAGTGAACAGTAACATTTTTATGTACAATTATTTATAAATTATAGTATTTTAATTAGGAATTGAAAAAAAAATTGTAAGAGATAGGTATTACAAATGTACTACAAATATTTGTTAAGAATTTTGATGAAATGTTTTATTAAAAAGAATAAGTTTACATCTTTGAATTTCCTGAAATTAGTTTACTGTTAAAGATAATTATTAATTTGTTTTTCGTAAATATATTAAATTTTGTTTTCACTAAATGTATAATATTATCAGTTTTTAATGGTAATTGTTAATTAATTAACATTGTGAACTGTTAAAAATTTTAATTTATTATTTATTTTATATCACATTATTATAAAACTATCAATAACTTAAAATAAAATTATAAAACTTAATTATAAAATATTTACTATGAAGATTTAAATGTTTTAATCCATGATAATTTAATTGAAAATCACTGTATCACATAAATGTATATAACAATGTGGTCATACTATAAATATTGCTGTGCATTAGAAACATTGCTAACGAAATTCCGCCTAATCTCAGAAGAAAAAAACTTCTCTTATTATATTGTGCCAGAACCAAAAGAAATACAAACAACCCAGCCATCGAAACAACAAAAACATATATACAAGAAGCTGTAAAAGAAAATATAAAAATAAATAATATTCTAGAAAGAAAACCTTATAATCTTCCCCCATGGAACACAATATTCAACGTCAACCTCACACTAACTAGTTACAAAAAAGAAAACACAATGCCTGCCATATACAAAAATATGCTCCAAAATATACTGCAAGAACATCCAAACAGTGTTCAAATCTACACTGACGCCTCTAAAACCAACACTGGAGTCGGGCTCGCAATAATAGTTAAAAATAAAAAAATAACATACAAACTACCTCCCCAAGCCTCAATATTCACAGCAGAAGGGATTGCAATATACAAAGCAGTAAAATATTTCCACACAGAAAACGTAAGCTCCGTAACAAATTGTACGATACTTAGCGACTCACTAAGCAACCTAATAGCAATCTCAAATACAAGTAACCCGCCTGATATCACAAAGCTCATTCAAGAAGAAACCTTCCAGGCCGGTAAAAAAGGGAAAAAAATCCATTTTGTATGGATTCCTGGTCACATTGGCATCCCAGGTAACGAAATAGCTGATCAAGAAGCCCAAAACGCTATCGTCTCCACATCAATCACAAATATAAATTCCATCACATTCGCTGATGCGAAGATAGAAATCAACGACTATATAAATAATAAATTCCTCTCTCACTGGAGAAAATTAAATACTAAACTCAATCAAATCAAAAATAATATCAACCCATGGAAAAACCCCGGTCTCAACAGAAAAGAAGAAACCACAATCAATAGACTTCGAATAGGACATACATACCTAACGCACAGCTACCTAATGAACAATGAAGAACCTCCAGAATGCGACACATGCAGAGTCCTTCTAACGGTAAAACACATCATCACCGAATGCCATAAATACAACCACTACCGCGACCAATTCCACATCTCCGATCAAATCTGCCAAGCACTTGGACCAAACCCATAGGATACAAACAATTTAATTCTATTCCTTAAAAAATCCGAATTGTATAAACTAATTTAAAAAATCATGTAACTTATTGTTATTACCATGTAATCTAACACTTTGTACTAATGACCTAGATGTCGATGTATTTAAGATCAATAAAAAAAAAAATATATTGCTGTATGGTATAACACTTTATTTCATAAATTGTTTTGTATTTTAAATAATAAACATATTAATTCCATGTAGAACTATTCCCATGTCGTAGTCTTCGTCTAAGATCTATACTTGGACAAATTTTAGTTGACTAAACTTGTATTAATATACAGACATTTTTTTTTCACTTAAAATAGTATTACAAGATTTTAGATTTTAATTGCTTAGTTTGGTTTATTGATTGGAAACTGATAAATTTGATAAATATTAAGTTTGCTATTATATCTCTTTCTTTTATTCAATAATTAAACAAACATGAATAAGTTTTTTCTTAAAATTAAGATTTCACTTTAAATTTTTTTTTAAATTATGACTTAATACTTAAAACATTTTACTTCAACATTGAGAACATCTATGCTTGCACCTTTATATATGGTATATCATTGATAAAAATAATTAAATGTTAAGCATAGTACTGTGATTGGTACAAAGTGCTCATAAGTTGATAATGTCTAAGACGCATATGCTGTGTAAGATTAGTCTTAATTTTACACATTTTTGGACAAAATAAACATTGAAATTGTGGTTCCTTTCCACATTCATACCGAACATGTCTCCATAAACCATGTTTGTAACGATAACTTTTTGTACATTTATGACACTTAAATGTTGATGGCTTTTGATCAACAGATGACGTACTGGATGGTGGACTTACTACAAAACCTGCATTTAAGAACCGTTTCACAAAAGTCCCTAAAAATATAAACTACATATTAGATGAACGAAGAAAACATAGCTGTAGTATTACTATATTAGTCTTTATAATACAATTGCTAATAATTAAATAACATGCAAATATTGATGAAAACATAAAACACTAGAAATACTAACACAAATATATTAACAACCATCTAGTGTACAAATGAATTAACTTTAAACCAATTAAAATAAAATTTCAATATTAAAAAATATATATTTAATTGTACCATATTTTTTTAAAATTATATATGTAAAAATTAATCAATGACAGTTTTGTTTTGTCATGCAGATAATGTTAGCCATACATGATAATTTAACATTAAATTATTTACTTAAAAATTTAAATATTAGTTACTATCATTTGTAAGCAAGTTATGTTTAGATACAAAGTTACAAAATTACTTGAATTAAAAATTTTTTTTTCAAAGTACTATAAATTACTAATGCACTTAGTAAAAAATACTTTAACTCCAAATAAATTATTTTCCCTAAAACTAAATATACAATATGTAATTCAGTTTTCCTAATATTTTTCATACTATTGTGCATTTAAACATAATTTGGTTACTAATAATATAAATTCAGACCATATGGTTATTGTAATAAAGTAGCCTAATGCAATTAATATACATTAAAATTGTGTTAACTTATATTGATTTAAAATTAATATGAAATATTATAAGATAATATAAGATAAACTTACATACATTGGATGGAAAAATCAAACTCAAAAATATGTCACTCACCTTTACGTTGAAATGATAACTACAACATTGATTTAATTAATTTCTTACTTAACACCACTTTAATCATTTTTCTATATTTATTTATTTATTTATTTATTTATTTATTTATTAACCTATTTTGAAATAATATTGGATATGAATTTTCTTTCAAAAATTATATCCTATACCCATTAGCTGTAGAGACATTTGCCACCTGCACAAAAACCAATTTATTACAGTTTTACCTATAAACTAAAAAAATTAATTTTTAACTTTTTTAGAAAAAATTTAATTAAAGTTTAAAAATTGTAAGTAGTCTTTGTCTCTGTGAGTCTAATAAAAAAAATACATTTATGATACATTTATTATCTTAGGATATATTGCAATGGGTAAATCCTTGATTGACACCCAAACATTAATATGTTCACACGATAAATAGTTCTATATGAGATAACACCATTTCATAAATGATATTGTGAGTTATCACAATTATTAATTTTTTTTTTTTTACTATGTACCTTTTTTTTTTATTTAGAAATATATTTACAATCTATACAAGACAAGGTATAATAAGTAAGTGTGTTGATACATAATTTGACATACTAACATAATAGGAAGGTTCCCAGCAGTGCCACCTGACCAGAAATTTTTTTTTTTTAAACATTGAGCAGGTCTCTTAGCCATTTTGTTTTTAACCATCTAGGAATGAGTGAGGTAGTGGATAGATTTTTAATTAGTGGATTTGAATGAGCGCGAAGTTTAAAGTGAAATTGTATGTAATAGGACTAAGCTAAGTTGTTGAGGGTTGGAATATTAAGGTCTTTATGGAGGTTTTTGTTGGTTACATACCAAGGGGCAGAGATTATTAAGCGTAGACACATGGATTGGAACATAAGTTGATTTGTTTTCATTGATTTTTATTTTCCACCATTTTATCCATAAATTAATCATGACACTGAAATTAGAGTATCAACGGCATAAGTACCAAGGAAAGTGAATGATGTTTTTGGGATGTCGTGGGTGAACACAGAATAAAGAAAGGGGACAATGTTACTACCTTGTGGGACATCTGCTGAAATACAGTAGTTGGATGAATAACTATTTTTAATACGGACCTTAAAGGAACGATCAGATAGGAATGATTTTATTAGTAAGAAATATGGTGCTGGGAGAAACTATTTTAGTTTGAAGAGTAGCCCTTCATGCCAGACAAAAAAAAATATTAATTGCATTCAAAATTAAACTGTTTGTTGTTAATAATATACAAATAATAATTTGTTAAAAAATCAATAATTACTTCTATAGGTAAGAAACTTAATTGTTTTATATTGTTTCATGTAAATATGCAATACATCATTTGTATTGAGAAATATAACCCTAGTGCTAATTCATCAAACTTATTATTTTACTAGTGAAATTTATGAATCAATTTTTTACATAGTATTCATTCTTAAAAACAAACAGTATAATTCAGAACATAATTAATATTCAATATTAAATGAAATGAAAAAATTCCATTTACAACTAAATAAAGTGTGGCCACATAATTACGTAAATGTTTATATACATAACAAGGTATACTTAAATCTAGAATTATTTTTAAATTTAAAAAAACTAATTCTTTAATATGTTAAAAGCTCGATATTGTAGGTTTGATTTATATAAGAGACAGAATTTTTCAATAATGGTTAAACAAAATTCAAGTTACAATAGACATCAACTTAAATAGGATGCATATACAGCATAGAAGAAAATACTCATTCCTATATAAGAGTAATCTCAGACAGTGGGCTTCCAAGTAAGGTGGTGACAGCAATGGATGTGGTTAACAAGTACCAAGTGCTGCACTCTCTTTAGAGTCACTTGATTGTTCTAATTACCGTCTAGCTTGTACTTTGATAAAATTAACACGGAAAGAAATTTTTTGGGCTGCAGCCTATCGTTAAAAAAGCTAATAACAAAAATTAATACATCGATAGATATGGTTAACTAGACTGGTCGAAAATCAGTCACCACCAGAAGTTACTCTAATTTGAGACTTTGTCGGTAGATATTATTTCAATTAAAAGTTATATTATTAATAGGAATATTCAATAACTATCTACAGATTATACATCACATACACATAGTCAAAATAGTTTTTTTTAATAATAAATAATTTTATAGCATTTATATTTAATTTCTTATTCATTTACTTAATAATAAATTCATATATTTAATAAGGTACATAGTATGAAGAACCTATCTTCCTGTATTATATAAAAATATATAAATTACCTTTTTTTTATAACTTCCTACATACTCAGTAAATACATTTACTTTCAATTTGTACTTTTTGTTTATTTTAAGGCATAATTTATAAAGTAAACAAAACATTTTTAATATATTATTAAATTGAAACTTCCTAAATCAAAATTAAAAATAAGTATTTTATTTTTGTATCCCAATATAGGATACAAAAAACTAAGCTGTTATACAATGATTTATTTTCGTTCACACTACAATATATTACTTTATTCCAAACAAGTTCAGAAAAAATCACAACATTGTGCATGTGCAGTCTCGTAGGATACCGTCGGTGAGCTCCCGACTACAAGCCAATCACAGCTATCCTACCATTCAGAGGCTGAGAGCAGTTTTTTCAAAATTATTTAAATATAAAAAATTATAATAAATTTGTGGACAGTGATAAATCATCAAAATTAAAAACGAATCAAGTCTAGTTTAGTTTTATCATTATAAAGTTTACCTGATGATTTCTAATATTTTAATTTTTTATTATTTTAAATGTCCACAATCACTTAAATTTTTTTAAATTTTAAGTCTTCAGAGTAAATTTAAAGCTGATCCATAAAATAAAGAAATAAAGACATTATATCACAAAACCATAGTTCATGTTAGCAATATTAAAAACCTACTTCCAGTCGACATATTAATAAAAATATCTATTAGTTCAAATATTTTAATAAAATAATTTTAAAAACATAATTATTAACCAATGTACCTATATTAATACTTTAAATTAAAACCAAAATTATCTAAAATATCTATTCCTAATACAATTTTATTAAAAAAAATACAAATCTAATTCTTAATAGTTATTACTAAGAACATTTTATTAATAATGTTAATATTTGGCACACATTTTCATCACACTCTATAAAAATATATATAAATTATACAATAGTTAAAATGATTCGGGAAGACTAATAAGAGCGTGTGTAAATTATAATATATATATGTAAAATATTTTTGAGCACGCTAATATGTTTATTCAAATGACTAGAGAATATTGAATGATTGGCTTTTTCATGCAGACTGTGATTCAGGTTCAACAGAAACAGAAGATTTGTGACGTATACGTATATGTTGATGAAGATTACTTTTACGGCTGCACCGTTTAGGACACATAGGACAAGCAAACATTGGTTCTTTACCGCACTCGTATCTTAAATGTCGATTAAGGGTAGCCCTGAAACGATATGTTTTACCACAATGGTAGCATGCTGAACGTACCAATTGTTGAGGGTCGGGTAAATTCCAATAATTGTCTGAAATAAAATGAGAATATAAAAATTTAAATACACAAAAAAAAGTATGTGGTTAAATTTTTTTTACATTCACTTACGATGCAATCAATCAAAAAACTCGACAACTACTTCATGGATGTAAGCTTAAAAACACACAATAATTTTGCACTTTATTAGGATAATTGTATTAAGACATATTTAGACTAAAAATAAGTGAAATAATTAATTCCTAAATAAGTGCAAAATCAATAATTCTACAAAAACACTATATGACAATTTGAGGACGCTACACAAGAATTAAATTATTTCCATAACAGTACAGAAATATTTATAATTTAAACTTATTCTTCAATAATATATTTTTTATGTTATATATAATACTTTTATTCAAAAATACAACAAGACACAAGCATATTAAAATATGAATGTATATCAAATCCAAGTGTATAAAAATTATTATTATATGATAGCATAATTTAACATATTATTTATGAAGCGCCCTCAATGACTATTGAATGTATTATTTATATTTATTATTATAGCTCATAATCTACCAATACAAATATAACATAGCTAAATGCAATTCATGCACAACTCAAAAACCTGAAAAATATATAAGTATAAACAGGGTGCACAAAGGTCCATTCATTTAATACATTTTTTAAATATTTTAACATGAAATAGTATTGGTCTGTC